ACATATGGATACATTATATACTGCATTGCCTTTGATATTAGCTACATATGGATACATCATTTGCTGCATTGCCTTTGATATTGGCTACATATTGATATATCGTATACTGCATTGCTTTTGATATTAGCTACTCATGGATACATCATATATTTATTGCCTTTGATATTAGCTACATATGGATATATCATATACTGTATTTCTTTTGATATTAGCTACATATGGATAAATCGTTTACTGCATTGCCTTTGATATTAACTACATATGGATAAATCGTTCACTGTATTGCCTTTGATATTAGCTACATATAGATAAATCGTTTACTGCATTGCCTTTGATATTAGCTACGTATGGATAAATCGTTTACTGCATTGCCTTTGATATTAGATACATATGGATATATCATATATTGCATTGCCTTTGATATTAGCTACATATGGATATATCATATATTGTATTGCCTTTGACATTAGCTACATATGGATATACCATATACTGCATTGCCTTTGATATTATCTACATATGGATATATCATATACTGTATTGCCTTTGATATTAGCTACATATGGATATGTCATATATTGCATTGCCTTTGATATTATCTACATATGAATATATCATATACTGTATTGCCTTTGATATTATCTCTTGCACAAAACTGTACGCGTGTGTTTTACATAATCCTGTTAATGCATTGTTTTCACAGATAATTAACACAATACAATCCTAACGTGATGTGATTTGGTCAGATTCAAGAGAAAAATGAGACTTCGTAGAACATTGATAAAGTTTGTCCAGTTAAGCTTACTCTTAGGAGCACTTAATGGACTCTATATTATGGGATATAAAGTATATTTTGAAGTCACGTATCGGACGGTGCAGTACACATGTGACTTAACCACTCACAGCAGAGGTCAGTTTTGTGTTTTATGTTGTGCCATATGATGAGGTTATATTTTGTTTCTGGTGCTAGTTGATATGAGTAACGTCATTGCTTTGATATTTACGAAAGTGTAGGAAATTCCCTCAACCAGCTTTATGTATAAATGATACCTAGAGATTATTGTTATATTACGGTGGCTAGACATACAGAGATACTTGAGTTGTATTTGTAGACGTTTTAAGTTATCTATCATACTTGTTCCATGGTTCGTGTCTGCAACCGTATGTGGGGGGAAATCGGCCATAGAGCGAAAGATATAACGAACACGGACGTAACGCATCAAAAGATGCTTCTCCCGACATGCTTCGCAACGTGTTTCCCGAAAAAGATTTCTCGCTGACATGGACACGGTCCACGGATCGTGTCTGAATGATAGTAAGATAGGTTAATGATAGTAAACCATTCATACGTGAATACTTTGGACTTACATGATACTGTTCAAACCTGTCTGAGAACTCTAGTCAGAAACAACTACCATCACATAAGTGTTACCAAACACTTGCCAATGAATTTAGCAACTTTGTCATCAATAAGATCAAAGATATTCGTATCAAACTAGACTCGATTGGAAATGTCAATATTCTGCCGGATATAGTAACTATATCGACCTCCACTTTTCACGCTTTCAGTACCACTAATACAGATGAACTATCCGACATTATTAGTAAATCATGCCGCTTGGATCCTATTCCAACAACACTATTTAAACAATGTCTTGGAAAACTGGTACACAAACTTGCTGATTAGCTATTTATTAGCATCACT